GCGCACACCGCGGCGTTTCTCCGCTCTCGGGGTCTCCCCGCTGGATCTCGGTTCCGAAAGGACTGGCTGGCCGTTGTGGTCTCGAGCGGTAACGGCCCGAGGCGGGGGCGGCTGCGGTGCCTCTGGCGCCGGGAGTCCCCACCTTGTCTAAGCTCCTCCGCTTCGCGAGGCAGACGGACCTTTACGGTCGCGGGCGGAGGGTCTCCGGGGGCGCCGAGAGCGAGGTGGGCCCCCAAAGCGTCGACTCCAAGCTTGCCTGCCGCTTCCGGCAGGGACACTCGACGCGGCGGCACCGACTTGCCTTCGCTGGGGTCGTGCGGGGAATGTCGCGCGCGCTTCCGGTGGGGAAGTACCGGAACCCGCAGGACAGTCAGAACCGGCGAGGCCAGAGCGGCTGCCCGGTGGGGCTAGGAGGGGTTAGGGGCAGACGCCCTTCCGGGGACTCGTGTTTGCGCCGGGCCGGGCTCCCTTCCGCTTAGGCTCCAGCGCCCGGGACGGGGACCTCGGTGGGGGCAAGGCCCTGGCCCTCTTCGGGCAGAAAACAGACACAGTCTGGCTGGATTCCCGTCTCCTCCTAGTTCCCCTTTTAGAGCTCTGCATTGGCGGTTTTCTTTAAAAAAAAAAAAAAAGAGGGTGGAATTAACTAACTGAAGTATTTAGACTGTGTTTTATGTTTAGCGCTCACGTTTTGTAACAATGTTAGATGTTTCATAGAAAGGTACGTCATGAAATAATTCCCATAATATGTCAACTTCTGGGCTAAAGCGTCTGCAGATAAAATCCAATATCCATTTTAGATCGATGTGCCCTGATGCAAGCATGTTCTCTACTGAGGGACCTTAGAAGGAAACTGAACTGGAAAGACTGCCTTGTTCTTGAGTAGAAAGACTCTTTTTTCTGCAAATGTGAGCTCCTGCTGTGGTAAACAGTGTTTTAAAAACTAAATAAAAACGTGAAGGCTTAAGAAGTGTGCACTTACACACGCTTTCTGTCATTTACGGTTGCAATGTGGTAACAAAAATTGTTCAAAGCAAAGACTTGCCCTTTCAGATAGAAGGTGCCGTTAATTTCTGCAAACTAATTGCTTACTAATAACTGAAGAGATAGAGAAGTGAAGGGAACAGAACAAAAGTCCAGAAACACACAAATATATATGTTAGAATTTTAAACTTGATAGTGGTGATATTGCTTATTATTAGGAAGAGCTGAATTGTTCATAAAGAAAATGCCTGTTAGTGGTTTGGAGGTGACTAGTTATGTCCTTAGATTTCAAAAAGCAGTTCCTGGTGGAACATACATTAAATTTAAATACAAAATGAGTAAATGCCAGAAGAAAACACACACGCTTATTTATACAGATACTTTTTTTTGCTGTGGTTGACAAAGACCTTCATTATAATGACCTCACAAGCAAGCATTCTGCAGATTGATTTGGCAAAATAAAAGTTGAAACCCACTGTATATCATTAAAAATACAACAAGGGAAGACAACATGCTCACAATATGTGTACAACATACATATACATATATGATAAAAATGCATCTTCATTTTACAGAGAAATCCTTTCAATCAACCACAAATTAATTCTAATTTAAAATTGGGCAAAAGTAAGTTTTTGCAGGTCTACAAGTGGCCTATGCACATGGGAAAGTATATTTACCATTCCTGTCAGGAGAGTAAATTTAGATAAGAGAAGAACAAAAGACTGTTTTCTATTCACAAAGTTTGAGAGGACGAAGAGCAGTGGGACTTATGTGGCTGCTTCAAGTTTAAGTGGTTGATGACTTTTCCAGTAGACAGTTTGGTGGCCAGTGGCACATTTGACAAACGTGTACGCCCTCTTTCCATTGATTCCATTATACTAAAATATCTTCAGGAAATAAAGATACATGCAATTTATCTTTCTCAGCCCTGCTTAAAATAGCAATGTAATAAGAACTCATGGACTTTATCATTGTATCCACTGGATGAAATAATATGTGCTCATTGAAGGTGGCATTAGATACAGGAGTATGTTGAGTTGCAGAGATGTGTTTTAGTATGCAAAGAAAGAAAATAAATTAGTTTACTTGTACATATTCACACAAACACGATAGTCTTGGTCTTATGTTAGCTGAAAATATGTACAGAATGTGATAGCATATGTTATTTCCGGGCCTTTGTATTCTAAGTTTTTTTGCCGTTTTCTTACCTGTGATTTCTGCAATGGGCATGGATAAAAGATCCAGTAAAAGTTTCCTTTGAAGAAAACAATCCTTGGGGAGAGCAAAAGTATGAATCTTGCACAGATGAAAATAATTCCCCAATCTCTATTTTATTTTTTTGTCAAATGTTGTGGATTACTACTGGCTGGACTTAAAAGTCTGCTAAAGCTTCTTGAGAAGCAAAAAGGGGGGCGCTGGCACCCCGCCCGGTGCTCCCAGCCCAGAGAGCCGGGGCGGCGGGTCCTGCAGGGCCCGGCCCAGTCGCCGTGGACGGCTTCTTCTTCGGCTGTGGGTTCCCCAGCCGCACCCGCTCCTTCGCCTTCAGGGTGGAGGAGGAGGGCGACGCGGAGCAGGTGCTGGCCTTCGCCGTGCTCTGCCTCGCCGAGGGGGCCGAGGACGAGCGCAGCATGGTGGAAGTCGCGGCCGGGACCACGACCCCCAGGAGATCGCCGTCCCCGTGGCCAGCCTCAGGCTGTCCTGCCAGCCTGCTCAGCCTGGACGCCTTCCAGCTCCAGCCACCCGTGACCCTCCGCCTGAAGTCGGCTCCCCCCGGGCGCCCCCAGACTGTGGCCGTAAGCGCCGGTGTGTCGGCGGAGGAGGAGGAGAGCCAGGAAGAGGAGAGCAAAGGGGGGAGGCGGAGCTGTGTCCCGGCCTTCCTGCCAAGAAGAAGGGGGTGGCCAGGCCCTCGCCCTCCTTGGGGGGCCTGCAGGCTCTGGGAGGGGCAGGGGGAGTGGGGGAGCCTGGGTGAAGACCCCTTGCGTGCTCTTGTCTGTCGGCTGCACCCGGGCCACCTCCTCGTGTTCCCGGACAGGTTTCCAGAAGTCTCAATATTTTTTCTTTTTTGAAGAGGGTCTGGGGCGGGAGGGAGGTCTCGGAGGAGGCATCCCTTTCTCTAGGGTGGGGGGCTCTGGACTTCCGTGCAGACCCTCTCGCCCCACCTGCGCGGGTCGCGGGGTGGTGACTGCAGCTCAGAACTACAAGTTTTAAATGCTTTTTACATTTTTTTTTTGGATAAAGGTTGAAATAAAGCGGGGGTTTTGCAGAAAAAAAGCAGTAAAAAAGTATCTTCTTCTTATGTATACATTTTATTATACAACGGGGTTTTTTATGTATGGGCATATTACATATATACAAGCAATTAAAATAATTATTTTAGCTTGTGTCGTTATGAGAGTTTTAAAACAAACAAATTCAAGTGATTATTAATACGGCAAAGTCACTGCCTTCCTTTACAAACATTTTCTTTAAATATACTGAGCTCCCCACTTGTAGTTATCATTTTAAAAATCCAGTTATTCATCAAATCACATGAATACTGTTATGTAGCAGATATACTCTACTGTCTCTTACCTTTAAGCAAATTTAAAATTGTACCGTTAGGATTTAATCACAGTGAGACGTTTTTCTTCCTTCCTTTCAAACAAAAACATTTCTGAAGGAAGAAAATGATAAAAGATATACTTTGTTCTTGTGAAAATACATGACAGTCTTAATAATATTAACCATTGGAAATATCTGATTCATATTCTACAAGTCTAAAATCTGAATGAGCCATATCTTTTTTGTTTGAATCCTGAATTTTTGAATTAAAGTTTTTTGAACATCACAGAATTTGTGATCATAATTTCTACCCTCTCTCCCCATAGTACTTTGAATAATTAAAATTTATTTAAATGCCAATCATATGACTAGAAAGTTACAGACCTGATGCATACCTATGCCATATTTCATGGAAGGGCATGCACCATGGATTGTGCGATGCCCCATTATTTTACATATCAATAAGAGAATTTTAAAATGCTGCCACTTATAGTAGTAATAAATCATAAATTACAGGTGATATTCTAATGTTGGAGACATTAAAATGGGAAGAAAGTGAGCATCTTGGAATTACTGAAATGCAGTGTTCTCTCTCATCTTTACCATAAAGCAAGCATAACTGTGCAATTTTATATCATTGCAATGTTGTTTTTGTTAAGTAAAAGTAATAATTATAATTTGCTATTTGTGCTGGGAGCTGCTCTAAGTATGTTGCATAGATTCTCATCAGCATCCCAGTGTTGTGTTATGAGATAGCTACTATTTTCATCCCCATTTTGGTGATGAGAAAAATGAGGCACAGAAAGGCCAAATGAGAATATGAAATGACAGAGCTTCAAGTGGGATTTAAGCCTATGTTGAGCTGACTCCAAAGGCCAGGCGCTTTCCAATCCAGTAGACTGCTCTTTTTCATATGTGTGGTGTATAATAAGAGCTGATAAATATTGTGCTTTCTTCACAAGAAATGTCGATTATTTGTTTTGAAGTCAGAGAAGTAACATGCTATTCAGCGATTACAATTGCATGAATTTTTGTATGTTTTGAGATAGTGCATTTCAGTTTTCTAAAAAGTCCTCTCCTCTCACTTTCACAGGACTGCTCTGCATGTGGCCAGTGCCTGTGGCCATTGAGAAGTGGTCATTTTCCTGGTAGAAGAGAAAGAATGCCAGCTTAATGTCCGTGACAGTGACTACAAAACAGCTCTGATAGCAGTATGTACTGGCTCACTCTTTTAGCATGAGATGGAGGTGGCTTCAATAGATAGAATAAAAATGAACTTCTCGCATTTAAATATCACTAGGTGGAATTGGTGAGATGTTTATTTTAAATTCCTGGAGTTTATGATTTATACCTTGGTCTAATACTCACAGGCTGTCCAATGCCAGGAAGAGGAATGTGCAACTCTTCTGCTAGAACATGGTGCTGATCCAAACCCTATGGATATCCATGACAACACTGCTCTGCACTATGCTATCTATCATCAGAATATCTCAGTGACTGAAAAACTACTTACAGGCAATGCAGATATTGAAGCAACAAACAAGGTAATGCATCAACCCGCCTTATTCCCTAAATACTTGTAATGCATTGGTACTAACATTGACATATATAAGGGCCAGATTTTCATATTTGAAAGCTCAAGCATCCCTGAATGAAAATATTTTAAAATAAGTTAATTGTATAATATTTTACTTTATTAATCCATCTGCTCTGGAAATAATCTTTATATTAAAAACTCAGACGAAGCTAAAGCTTTTTACAATAAATGGAAACCTTGCTGCTCTTGACAAGCTCCTTAAAAAGTAATATATGGAAATGATTTATCTCTCAGTGACAAGGCTTTAGAGGGAAGCGTGGAAAGGGGATTGGAGAACAATCTGAAATATGCAGGCCAACTTGGACAGTAGATCATTGAGGGAAGTGAGCAAGAAAAGAAGTTTTGGTTTGTTTTGTTTGTCATTCAGTTTATGTGCTTAGACAAGCTACCTTCAGTTTAGGGGAAAATAATTCTCAGTCTGGTAAAGAGGGTTAGCAAGTTTTAGACTTGCCTAGAGATCCACTTTAGAGTGAATAGGTAGGGATAAAATAGGAAGCATTTCAGAAGAGGGAAGAGTAAATGATTAGCTTCTTATCCTATGCTGGCATAAACAGTCACTTAAATACAAGTCCAAACTCTGCTCTTGAATCTCTAAAGTCTTGATGGGAAAGTGGATGATAAGGAGCTTATAAACAGCAAACCATGTTGCATTTTGCAGTCACTAGTTGCTGTTCTACTCCTACCCAAGAAAAGTGGCATTGGCAGCAAATGACTCTATTACTCGTTCCTCTTTTTGCCCACCTCCCCAGATAACAAAGGGACTTGGCATCATGGAGGAGAGATGAGACACGGAAGTGACTATCTACTGAACTATTTCTCAGCTAAAATTGTGCATTGCAGTGACCTGAGGAATTTTTTCTTTAAGCTACACGTCTAGGCTCTCCCATGAAGATGTTCATTTAATAAAAGTAATAGGCCCTGTATATGCATAGTATATTTTAAAATACTTCCTCAAAACTGGGAACAATGAAGAGTGCCTGCAGGCCCAGGTACAGGAGATGCTGAGGTAGGAGAATCTCTTGAGCCCAGGAGTTTGAGTCCAGCCTGGCATGATAGTGAGACCCTTTCTCTAACAACAACAACAACAACAGTAGCAGCGACAGATTTCCCCAAGATTCTGACACAATCCAGGTTAAGAATGACTGAATAGTAATATGTAAATTCCCATACATCAAAAATGTCAAAAATCCCTAGATGAGATGGAAATTGGTAGCTGTTACTTCCTTCAAACCTCTGCATCCCAGAAGTAGCCTGACTTGTATCTCTCTTTCTGTTTCTATGGTGGAGAGTGCAAAGAAATGTTTTTGGCAGTATCTATCACCCTATGGAATAGGTAATATCTATCGCAATGGGTCATATCTGTCGCCTTTAGAAATTTATTTGTGGGTAGTCTTTCAATAAGTAGGGACTGACCCTTTCAGAATGTTCTGTCATTTTATCATCATTCAGGAGATTTGGTCAATAAGTGTTTGTGACAAGCAGGAACTTTTTCTAAGTTGATACTGTGTTATGTACTGTCCTCAGTATGTCAAGAAGATGGCAGTTTAAGACACTGAAAATCATGTAGTAACACTAAGAAAATAATTCTTTGAATAAATTAGCTTCAGCAGTTCTATGAACTAGTTAGCATTTGATGAGCAACCTGGCCTGATTAAATACAGCACAAATAGATTGTGAATGAGGAAATGTTGGAAAAATTCTTGAAGTGGGTATTAGGAGTCTTAATATCAACTTTTATTATATGTTGGCACCTAATCGTTTTTGGTAGAACATCTAATACTAAAGGAATGACTGATTGTCATGCACGTTCTTGTTTTATACACAGCAATCTGGAAATGGAGCTATGATCAAAATGTGCCCCATAGATAAGTTTAGTGTGTCTGCATCAATTAAGTCCACATGTAGAATTGAGGAGACTCAGTCCATGCCTGAAATCCCAGCCCTTTGGGAGGTGGGGGCGAGAGGATTGCCTGAGCCCAAGGGTTTGAGACCTTAAAAACAGTCTGTGCAATAACTCATCAACAAGGATACCTGCACAACGAATATTTGTATACCTAACCCTGAATTGTACCCTACAATTTTAAAATAAAAAAAAAACATTGATTGGAAAAAAAGAAAAGAGAGCCCAATGTAGTGGCTTGTACCTATAAACTGGTGCTTGAGAGGCTGAGGTGGGAGGGTTGCTTGAGGCCAGGAGTCAAGACCAACCTGGGAAACATAGCAAGACCCCATATCTGAAACAAACAAAATAGCTGGGCACGATGGCTCATACCTATAGTCCCTGCCACTTAGGAGGTTGAAGTGGTAGGATCACTTGAGCCCAGAAATTCAAGGCTGCAGTGAGCTATGATTGCACGACTGCACTCCAACCTGCTTAACAGAGCAAGACCCCAGTCTCTTAAAAAACAAATTAACAAAAAAAAGTTAATACACATAGCTGCAAACTATCTTTTCAGAACTCATTTTCTCCTATGTAAGTATAAGAAATGAAGTTTATGCTGTATAAACTTTTCCTCTCCCTCTATCATCTCTAATACCATGTGTATTTCCCTTCAGTTTCCCCACAATCTTGACTCCAAATGCAAATAAAAATTGTTGTGTGTTGTTTTACATACAATGTATGCTGAGGCATCAAATAATTGGAACATATTTATTTTAAATGGGAATAAAGATATTGTCACGAGGAAAAAATGCAAATAATTTAGTGACTTTCATTGTGCTGGAAATACTTTACATAGATCAGTATTAGAACTTTTATTGCTAGGCCATCATATTTTATTTCTGATTTATATTTTGCCTAAAAGAAAACATAATTTTAAGTAGCATTTCAAAAGGAATTCAGAATAAAACTGAATTTGAATAAGTAAATATGCTTTATGGTCCCAGGGCTATCATTATACTGAAGAATAGAATTCCATACTGAATTTTCTAACAGCTAAGGTAAAAGTTTATCATCTTGTAATAGGCAAAACCCCATGGACCATTTAATAATTAGCAGTTGACGTTTATCTGAAGGTGTTCTCTTTTCATTCAGAGCCCTTTTTCTTAGTGACCCATTTGGAGTAGGAGTGCCTCACATTGGCCTCTGAGATTCTGTCACCGTTGATAGAAGAGAATCAGGTGAGTTAGTACCATGAGGAGGAAAGCTCCACCTTTACTGGAAAACTCTCACCACTGTATTCCCGAAACTCTGATTCCTGCCTTGCTAGTGGTTGCCACATAAAAGCACTGTCAGTACAGTCTTTCTGTTGGAGTACAGTCCTTAACTTCTGGTAAAATAAATAATCTTTGAAATATAGTTTAAGAAACATTCCTCTAGAGAGCCTAACTTTGGCCATTTCCTTAATAAAGAATACTTAGAGCATTTGCAACTGTCTTCGGGTTTGGAACTATAAAGATAAAAGATAAGAGCTCTTTTGCTGAAGAAGCTCTTAGTTTTGATGGGAAACAATAAAATAATTACAATATGGCACGCTAAATGGTGTGATAGAAGCAAAGATTCTAATAATATGTACATGTTTAGCATGAGTTTGAAAGATGACCAGAGTGAATGCAGTGCAGTGGAGAAGCAGTGTTTCCAAGGGAAGGAGCAGTGCCTGGGAAAGCATAGAGGAGTGAGAAGGAAGGGCCAACTTTTTCTTTACTTTCTCTATTATCTTTTAAGTTCATAGGGTCTTATGGGAAGTTTCTGTTTCACTCGAGAAATATGTCATGTTGTGAATTACCCATTGTTTTTCTGCATTACAGGTTGGCCTCCCACCACTTTTGCTTGCAGCAAGTCATGCAAAAGAGCAAATGGTGGAGTTTTTTAGTGAATAAAGGAGCAAATGTGAATGCAGTGGACATATGTCAAAGGTACAGTTGTTAGTTCTTAAAAAGCAAGCAAACAAACAAAAATTGAGTGTTTCTCTGGAGTGATGATGTTCATTTTCATGCCAGAAACATTAAATTAGTAAGAAGATGAACTTATACTTATTGGAATGCAGTGAAAAATATCAACAGAAAGCATCAGTTTTATAGAAAAGCAGTCCTTTGCACTGGGAAACATCAAGAAGAGAATATAGGAAGATTCATCTTCTCTTACTGTTCTGTCTGATGTTTATTTATAATCTGATGTTTTTGATTCTATAATCTTATGTTAGCTAAAGGACTTTGTATTAGCTGTATCGATTTTACAAAGTGTGGACTTTAGCTTTTCGTTTCCTTTATGACTCTATATTGAACTTTTTAACTCCTTTAGAGTATTTTTCTAGCCTTTGCTTCTTAGATACGTTTCCTTTAATCATGCTATATTGAAACTGAATAGAAGTTGAAAATCATTTTGTCTGAAATTACGACTACTGCTATGACCATTATTCCTAATATTGTTTTCAACCTGCAGAAACCTGTAACTTACCCTACCCCTAGCTGGCTTTGGATTACAAACTATCAGAATATGGGAGGAGTGGAGAAATCTTCACTTAAGTCTTTACCCACTTTAGATAAGTGACTCAGCATAGTTTCTTGCCCATCGTAGGACTTCTAATAGTAGCAACTTTTACTATGACGTACACCAATGGGATAAGAGGCTTCCTTTGTGACCCTTCCTTTTAGCCATGTTGGTAACTTACCAAGATGCCTGTGTCTGTTAGGACATGAACATAGTGAATTCTGTGCTGATGGACAGAATATTGACTTGATAATATATACCAAGTTAGCTGCTTAAAGAACTGTATCAAAAGTCCTAAGCATGAAGTAACCTCTCTGTTATTTTAGAACCACTCTCATGTTTGCTGTGTGTTGTAAATCACCAAGTATGGTCAGCATTCTTCTTCAGAAGAATACTGATGTCTTTCGTCGAGATCCGATAGGAAAGACTGCTGAAGATGATGCTGCTCGTTGGAAGTATCATGCGTAAGTATTTGCACTAAACAGCCAGTCAGCATTAAATTGAGGTTTAAAGTAAGTATAACTATCTCATCCTGTTTATTAGGCAGGATCTCCTAGTTTGGCTCAGGGAGTTTAGGAATGGCAATGAGTTAGTCCAATTCATCATCGAGAAATCAAACCTTAGTTTCAACTAGTTACAAGTAGCAAGGGCTGCAGAATTCTTTCCCTTAGGTCTCTCAAAACCATCATTCTCAGGGATCCCAATGTTGTTCATTTCATCCCAAGTATAACCCCTACACATGGCATAAGAATAGTGTCCCAGCTTTGATTTTTTAACATTAGTTATTTAGGTCTTGAAATGTCTAGTTTAGCAGAAAATCTTGTTCCCAGGGGACTTTCTCCTATACCCTCCGCCCTGAATTTTTCAAGCACCTAAGGGGTTCCCTAAGTCCAAGGAAGATCGTTCTTTCTTCTAAGTCAGAACTATGTTGGGTGAAAGGACATGGGAATCATCGTGCTGTTTGCATTGATTCTGTTGCCGCCTCGTTGCTGTTGAAACTGGCTCGGCAGTCTGGTAATGGGTGACCTGATCTTTGCTACCAGAATGCCCTTACTGATTCTGATCCCTCAGTCTTCAGGGTGATCCATACTTCGACTTCAGAAGGACTGCTTCATTCACTTCACATACATTTATATGCTCATCTGTTGTTCCCAAAGCACCAACACCCCGCCCTGGGCCTCTTAGCTTTAGGCACACATGTAGTGAGCAAATTGACTCTTCCTCCCCACACTCACAACTTTATTGTGGAGCCTACATTGTCAGTCAAGACATCATCAACCTTCATGGTAAGTTATCCTTGGAGGCCCTTGTTTGTGTTTTCTCTAGCAGGTATTAGAAGGTATCATTCTAAACCATCAGAGAGGTTCAAATAGTGCTACAAGAAGAGATGAGCATTTTTTAAAAATTTTGTGACCGGTCTCGGTGGCTCAGCCTGTAATCCCTGCACTTTGGGAGGCTGAGATGAGAGGATTGCCTGAGCCCACAGGTTTGAGACCAGCGTGGGCGACTTGGCGAGATCTCGTCTCTACAATAAATAAAAAATTAGCCGGGTGTTGCACCTGTAGTTTCGGCTACTTGAAAGGCTGAGGCAGAAGGATCACTAGGGACATCGGCCTGGGTGACAGAGTGAGACACCAACTCAAAAAAATTTTTTGTTACAGTATCCGTACCATGAGGACCCTTTCTACCCAGTATGGCACTTTGTCTTAGGCAGTGGAAGGTCCCATACCATCCTTCCCTTGTTTATTGTTCACCGACTTGTAGTTGGCTCCTCCAGTGGTCTTTTTTCTTTTATAATGAAAATTTCCCAAGCTACTTGCATCTTCACTTCTAGATCTTTTTTCTTTTTTGGTCAGGGTCTCACTCTGTTGTCCAGGCTGAGGTGCAGTGGCACTATCATGGCTCACCGTGGCTTTGACCTCCTGAGCTCAGGCTATTCTTGTGCCTTAGCCTCCCAAGTAGATGGGACTACTGGTACACACCACCCCATGCAGCTAATTTTTTGCCTTTTTATCAACATGAGGTCAGGCTGTATTACCTAGGTTGGTCTCAAACTCCTAGGCTCAAGCAATTTTCCTTCTTCGGTCTCCCAAAGTGCTGGGATTACAGTTGTAAACCACCACACCCAGGCAAATTTTTAAAATATGTTCAAATTCTGCTTCACAAGGAAACCACTGAACAGAATTAGCTGTCTAATGTAGTTAGTTGGATTTCACAGAGCTAAGCCTCATGCATAATTCATCAATACCTACGTATAAAAGTAGGGCTTTGGGCTGGCTTTGGCCACTCATGTACTAAAGGTGAAACAATACAGGGAAGATTAGCATGGTCCCTCCACAAGGATGGCACACAAATTTGTAAAGCATCTATATTTTGCATAGTGCCTGAAAAAAAATTAGGCTATTTGCTGCCTAGCTTCAAGGGAACATGTGCATTAAAGAAAAATGGGTGGCATCTAATATTGAAATTGTGATTTTCCACTACAAAAATACTCAGGTAACGTGATCTGTGAAATGAACAGAGCTGAGTAACACCTGGGATTTTGTGTGCAAATAGGTTGTCGGTAGGTTCCTTGGAAATGAGAAAATGTCAACTTTTGTCTCCTTTGTGGAACTTAATTTTTAAAAAATGAGGTTTTGTCTTCCACATTACTTGGAGGTGAACATAGAGGTTTAATGTATTACTTTTTTTTTTTTTTTTTTTGAGTTGGAGTCTCACACTTGTTGCCCAGGCTGGAGTGCAGTGGCATGCTCACACCCACCACAGCCTTTACCTGCTGGGCTTAGGCTATCCTTCTGTCTCTGCCTTCCAAGAAGCTGGAACTACAGACGCACGCCACCACGCCTGACTAGTTTTTGTGATTTATTGTAGAGACGAGGTCTCAATGAAGTTGCCCAGGCTGATCTCAAACCCCCGGGCTTGGGCAATCCTCTCGCCTCGGCCACCCAAAGTGCTAGGATTACAGGTTGAGCCACTGCACCTGGCCAGTTTAATGTCATTCTTAGAATGATGAATTGAACTGATCCAGGGTTTGAGTAGGTGGAAAAGTACTGGAAGTAGACGAATCCAGGTCTCAAGATCTATTACTTTTCTTTCCTTGGTGCGATGGATTAGCTCAGGAATGGAGGACAATTATGTTATCCCCCATTTGATGTGATCTTGTACATAAAAATAAATTTTATTACAAATTATAAAATAGCTGAGTTGTTCTGAGTTACCAGCCACAAAGACTAGAACAACTAATAACAAAATTAGGAGTTAATAATATTTTCTGAAAATGGCAACAATATTAGAACCTATGAAGAAACACACATTGGGTTTTATTGGGAATTCCAAAATAATTTTAGCATTAAAGTTCAAGAGCAAATTGTTCCATTTCCTCACTATGTCTCTGAGCATTTAAAAATGTTATCTCATGAAATCACCTTAACAATCTAGTGAAATAAGGCAGTAAGTTTCTTTCTTCTTTTTTTCTTTTGGAAGAAGAAATGGAGCTTAGGAGAAGCAAGCTCTTGTCCCAGAGCAAATAGCTGTTGGTGAGCGAGCTAGGGCTTCATCTGAGTTAGGGCTTCATCTGAGATAGAAATACTTTCTATTATTTCATGCTACTGTTAGTTATTTTACTGAGCTATACTGCCATTAGCTCATGGTTGCTTCATTTTATCATTTTTTTTCAATGAGAAGCTTAATAAGAAGTTTGTAGACCTTACACTTTTTAATTGTATGAGTTAATTAAAGTTCTGATATTAGCCCTGATACTGTCTGAAATGCTCTAAGAATTTAATATATTTGCTACATGTTTTTCATATCAGTACTAAAAAGTAATTTTGTCTGTTATGTTCTAATACATAGAATTCATCAACAAATTGTAAAATATAGAAAAGAAAAAGAAAAGAGATTTACACCTGTATCTCTAGAGAATAGCAATCCAGGTAAGACTTCTGATAGCTAATTACTCATGGTAATCCTACCCTGGATGAAAAATAGTAAGAGTAAGGAAGTTCTCTGCCTGATTGTTGTCGGTGTAAAGAAATACTACTTTTTTGTGCACTTTTTTAGAATTCCAGGACTCTACCAAAATCTTATATTAGTGCAAGGTTGTTTTTGACAGATTCTCTAGGGTTTTCTAGTTATAGAATCATATCCGCCCATCAAAAGAGGACTGGATTTTAAAAATGTGGTACATATACATGATGGAATACTACGCAGCCATAAAAAAGAACAAAATCATGAATTTCGCTGCAACCTGGATGGAACTAGAGTCTATAATACTGAGTGACCTCTCACAAAAACAAAGATCCGAATATCACATGTTCTCACTCATATAATGGACCTTGAACATCCAATGCAATACTATAAGAAAATGACTGATGGTACTGGGAAACTATGGGGGGAGGGGGATGGGATTAACAGTAGCAAATATCTGTCGGGGGATGGGAAAACACTTCTTATCTACAGGGTGCCTGAATGAAATGTCATTGTACACCTAACCCTTAACTGTACCCCACAAAACCATAATAAAAAATACTGATTAATGAAAAAAAATAAAAATAAAAAAAATAAAGTCATCATTAATATTAAAAAAAAAAAAGAATCATATCCACAAATAAGGATAACTTGACTCCCTCTTTTACTGTTTGAATACTCCATGATTTCTTTCTCCTGCCTGATTGCCCTGGCTAGGACTGCTAGTACTCTCTCTGTTCAATAGGAGAGGTGAGAGTGGGCATCCTTGTCCTGATCCGATCCTTAGGGAGAATGTTTCCACCTCTTGCCATTAAGTATCACATTGGCTGGAGATTTGTTATGGTGCCTTTTATTGTTTGGAGGAATGTTCCTTCGATGCCTAGGTGGTTGAGGATTTTGATCAAGAATGGATGTTGGTTTTATTCAAGGCTTTTCTGCATTTAATGAGTTAATCATGTGGTTCTTTGTTTGACTCCTATTTAATGGGATGGATCATACTTACAGATATTCATATGTGGAACTGGTCCTGCATTCTGGGCATGAAGCCAACCTGATCAGGGTGGATGATTCCTGAAATATATTGTTTAATGAGATTTGTTGGAACCTTGTGGAGATATTTTGCATCTATGTTCATTAGGGAAATTGTCCTGTAGTTTTCTTTCCTTGTTGGGTCTTTGCCATTTTGGGGTACTGGGATGATATTGCCTTCAAAGAATGAACTAGGGGGAATTGCTTCCTTCTCAATTGCCCTCCCCACTTTATATTGTTCTTTATAATTAACTGGTAGATGCCAGTAAATGTCTCCCTGAGTTCTGTGAGCTGCTGTAGCAAATTAATTAAACCCATTAAGAAGATCATGGGACCCTCAAGTTGAAGTCAGTTCTGTAGGCTCTGACTTGTGATTGGTGTGTGGCAGAGAGGACAGTGTTGTGGAACTGAGTCCTCAACCTGTGAGATCTGACTGCAGTCTCCAGGTAGATATTGCCAGAAGTTAAAGACATCAAGCTCATGTCTGTTCCAGAGTTGGTTGCCTACTTGTCAGTGTCACACAAAGTTTGTCACAGAAGCCTTCTGTTTTGACAATTGCTGCTGTGGTATGAGAGCATAAAAACATGTCAAGTGTGTGTTTTCTGCCCATACAGCAGATAAGTGGGAGCTACTATATACTCTGTTTTATGTACTCCACGTTCATTAGTCCAAAAATCATGGTCTTTACATTTGATACTGTGTATATATGATACTGATTCTACTAATCATACCATTTTCTGTCAGTCTGATGTGTTTTGGTTATGATTATTATACTCAACAAGTCACCTATAAGTATCAACTTTTGATAGACCTCAATTTTCTAGCATTTGATAAATACAAAAAGGGGAAGTAGGAGTTTTTAAAGCATTAATTGCTTTCAAATAGTAATACTAATACTAATTCTGGTATATTTTCCAGGCATGGTCCCCTAACAGTTACTTTCTAACAAAAGTAATTTGTCAGTCTTGTGCCTTTTTCTTGTAAGATGGTCTAAAGCATACACAAAAATGTGCAAGATTTCTTTTCTTTTTTTTATGAAGGCAAAGTCTTACTTTGTTGCCCAGGCTGGTCTCAAACTTCTGAGATCCTCAATCAGTCCTCCCACATCAGCCTCCTTGTAGTTGGGATTACAGGCATGAGCCATCATACATATGTTTCTAATTTTCTATTTTTTACTGTTGTTGATTTGAAGTGTATTTTGCTTTTGTCTTTAATAGTGGATGGGAGCTCTGAAGGCTGTTTAACCAGGTAGGGTTTCTCAGATTTTAAAAAATTTATGTGTTAAATAAGAGAGTACAGAGATAAGAAACCGATATCTGTTGAGTGTTCTGCTCTGGACATGATGTGTTGTTTTATGCTTGACATTTATCTCACATAGTCATTTCACAGCTCTGCAAAGTACCTGTTCTATGATAACCTACATTTTGCCGGTAAGGCAATTGTGGTTCAGAGAGGTCGACTGGCCAGTGATTCCACAATTACCAAATAGCTGACTCATGATTTTATCATCAACCTGCCTGTCTCCCAAATACCTTATTTTGCCCTTCAGCATAGATTGATAGAGGCCTGTGTAACGTTGGTATCAAGGTGCAGGTCTACATGAGGTTAATTCAGAAAGTCAGATTAGTTATATGCTAAGTCTCTTTCAGAGTCTTTCTGAAAAGCCTGGTTGGTCCAAGAGTTTGTCCTTTGTATTTGACAATTGCAGTGGTAACTGGTACTTTGTTTCCACCATCTAAGGTTTCAGGGCAAATCTCGCTTAACTGTAGCATTATACCACAGGTTTTGCACAAACAAGGCTGGGTAAGTCCTAGAGGGGAATTATTTTACTGTAAGTGAAGGATATCCCTGTATGCAACATGTTCTGTTATTTATATTGAGAACCCATTGAGAGCATATTTCTAATTTATTTCTCTTATTATTGACTTCCCAGTTTGTATTTTCCTCAGGCTAGCACCCTGTCTAGTTCCATGCAGCCTTTTCTTTTTCTCTGGTATCTTTATTATCTCTCTTCTATGATATTTCTCCAATCATTTTTGGGTTTGGCTTTCTCCTATGCTTTTCTTAGTGTTTCGATTGTTCTGTTATTGTTCTCATTTCAGCCAGCTAAGTATTCCCCATCTTTCTATAGACAGAATCAAAAGCTCATAGAATTTCAGTATTTTGAGAAATCTTAGTGACTAGTAAAAATATCCTCCAATTCTTACAGCTGTGTTTAACATCCAGATAAAGTGGTTGCTCAGATGGAGAAGCTAAAACTCAAGAGATAAAGTGACTTATATGGGTATAGGAAGTAGTGGAAATGAGATGTGAATTCAGGTTTCTTTAATCAAAGTCCCATACTCTTCCTTTATTATCCAGGCAGAATTTCTCAGATTTTAAAAAATTTATGTGTTAACTAAGAGAGTACAGAGATAAGAAACTGATATCTGTTGAGTGTTCTACTCTGGACGAGATGTGATGTTTTATGCTTGACATTTATCTCACATAGTCATTTCACAGCTTTGCATAGTACCTGTTCTATGATAACCTACATTTTGCTGGTGAGGCAATTGTGGTTCAGAGAGGTCGACTGGTCAGCATGTTTTTAATAATAGAAAAAGGGAGTGTGTTTGGTGAACCCAATGGAAGAGACAAAGAATGAAATTGGCTGGTGAACCCAATGGAAGTGGATAAGAAAGGAATGAGCAGAGGAAGGCCATGTTTGAAGAGAAACATCAGTGGTTTGTACAGGAATAAGAGAAGAGATCTGAATGTTGGGATTGACTATAAGTGTGACAGAGATAGCTTATAGGATGGAAGGATACAGGAGGTGGGGAATTATCTCAAAAGGCATATTAAAATAAGGGTTTCAAGGGAGTTCTGAACAGATTGCTGCTTTTTTGTTTGTTGAATTGGAGAAATTGATACACTTGAAGTTTTCTATTAAAAGATGCTCAAAGAATTTGAGCCATTGGAAAGAGTCTCTACAGTAGATAGGAGTATAGTATCGTGCATTTCTAATCCCCACCTTATAAAGTGTTGGAGCACCTTAAGTACTAGAGGGCTAAAGGTTGCCGTACTCCTCAGGTCTGTGGCCCAGGGCAGGTATACTCTTTCTGTAATTCACTGACGTCCTTCCCATGTACATGTAGGGTTGGGTAGGTGTAGGATTGGCTGGCAAACCCACCATGGAACTTCAGTTGGGTAGCTGCTAACAAGCCTACATCGGCGGCAGACGACCGAGACTCCATTCTTAACTTCTTTGCCAGAGGCAGGGAAATAGACACCTTCTGTTGTTTTTCATTTAGCCCATCCTTTCAGAAAGCTGTGTTTTCATAGGCTGAAGATTTAAAGGTTGGGGACTGCCATCGATCACTGCAGAAGAGAAATATGGAAGTGGGAGCCCATAGACTGGAAGGCATTTCCAAAGTACTTAAGGAAATAGAAATACAACTTCCAGGACTCCGATTTTTCACCAGTCTCTCTCCTTGGGTATCTGAGTGCTTATAATGGTTTTTAAGGACTTGCTAGTTTATGTGGACTTGAATCAGGCACGATCTATATAGGGAAATTAATTGGATTTTATAATTTTGAATGTTATAATCATTCTGGGAAGAGTATTCCCACTCTAGAATGGACATCTGAACTTTGACTTTTGTGTATTCTGCTTACCAAAATGTCAAATGTTTTGGGGGTACTCCTATACTGGTTTAGGGTAAGGGGAATCAATGGGACCTACTTAAGTGATTCCAGTGCTAAAGAACCAAGGTTGTAGTAGTGCTCACCTGTAGTTCCAGCCATATGGTGGATGACTGAGTTGGAAGGATCACCAGAGCCCAGAAGGTCGATGCTTGGGTGGCTGCGAGTGTGCCACTACTCTCCAATTTGGCGGATGGGGTGAGACTACAGTTCAAAAAAAAAGAACCAAGGCTGCCCCTTTTCAGTGACACAGATTAGTCTCTGAACCAGATAATGGTGATGAGGCAATATATTTCTCTAACTTGGTTTTAGCTTATTAGGTTAGTTCCAGTTCAGATAGCAAGAATTACGTCAGCCGTTAGTGGGACTTTCAGTTCAGCCTTCAGGATAGACAATTTGTGAGGATGAATTATTGTCAGGCTCTGCTAAACTGCTGACTCTCACTAGTTCTTATGGAACTTAAGGTTGAGTTTTCCTGAAATATCTCATAGGTTCGGAGAAGTGGAGATGAGAATGGTTAACACCATCATTTTTAAAACTGGGACCATATTTTAGTTATATTAAGAAACAACATCTGACATACAGATAGCTGACTTTCCCCTTGATTTTATTTGTTTTCTTCCTTTGTGGGGGCACCCAGGTATGAACCACTAGGTCTTGATTTTGAATAAATGTACCCACTCATCTTTGTCATATATTTTTACTCTAAAGGCTTTCCAGCAAACTGAGTAGTGAACACTCACAATCTACACCAGATGATGATGGCACCAAGGTAAATTGATCTTTCGAGGAATGAATATTCTTGATCTGAATCTAGTTTGTGGGTTATTATTTACTCTGCAAACCAAGCAGCAAACATTTGACAGTAATATGAGTGTTGGATTTCTAATCTTAGTTTTTACTTTGGCAGATAACAAAGGATTGATCAAAACTTTAAGAGGGTGGAGGCTGAAAAAATAATGGGTTGGAAAATACTAGTGACAGGAAAACAATATGAGAAAAAGCTTTCCCACCATAGAGGAAATATTAAATTTTGTCAAGGTTAATTTGAATAAGTCTTCTTACTGTGAGTTCTAACTTAGACTAAGATGACTTTTATCATACTTACACCTTGATGAATCCTTAATGGATCTGGATACTCAACGATTGTCATCATGAAATCTCTCTGATGCCTTTTAGTTTCACAACTATACAGCACAGAGCACATAATTTTTGTTTCCTGGACACATCTCTTTTTTTGGAATTGTATAGTTTCTAGGAGAAGGCTTTTTCTCTACTTTTATCCTTCTGTAATTAGAGGAAGATAATACAAGAAATTATATAAATTTTGCTGGGCACAATGGTTCATACCTGTAGTCCCAGCTATTCAGGAACCCTAGGTGAGAGAATTTCTTGAGCCCAGGAGGTCAAGACCAGCCTGAGCAACATAACAACACTTCATTGCTGATTTTTAAAAAGGAAAAAAAAAGTAGAAATTTATAAAATTCGATCTCTTTCTCAGTCCATATTACAAGAAGATTTCTCTGTGTTTTCCAATTCATTTTATTGAGCACACATTTTAAACTCTTCATCTAATTAAAGAATACATGTTTTGTTCAAGAAGGCAACCAGGTCTTGAAGCAAATACTCTTAATAATCATATGGTAAAGACTTTAATTTCAGAAGTTTTTGCATTATATATATATGTGTGTGTGTGTGTATTTGAGATGGAGTCTCACTTCAACGCCCAGGATGGAGTACAGTGGCATGCTCACAGCCACCCCAGCGGTGACTTGCTGGGCTCCGGTGATCCTTCTGCCTCAGCCTTCCAAATAGCCGGAACTAGCGGCATGCACTGCCACGCCCAGCTAAGTTTTCTTTTATTTATTGTTTAGATGAGGTCTCATCAAGTTGCCCAAGATGGTCTCAACCCATGAGCTCAGGCAATCCTCTCATCTTGGCCTCCCAAAGTGCTGGGATTACAGGCTTGAGCCTTTGCGCCCGACCTTCATTATAGTTTTTATAAGTATCCACTCAATGTTCTTGTATCATGGTCTAAAATTTTAAGTTTACATCTATTTATATTTTGTTATTTAATCATTTTTGAAACTTCTGTATTACTATGAACTACTTGAAGGTGAGGAAATTTGTCTTCTTAACACCATATGCTTTTCCTGAAAGAAAATGTGACCTATTCCTACGCCAAATCTATTTATCTGGATTTGCCTTCTAAGTCCTCTGGTGGCTGAAATTTGATATGTCTCTAGCTGAAGACATCGCCCTTCACCCTTTCCTGAGTCTTTATGATCTTTGTCCTCTGGCTTTTCCATCGTAGTAAATTACCACCTGCTAAATAATACTAAAACACTGGATCAGGAGTCCTGCACTCCAGCCCTTCCTCCTCACATCGCCGTTCCAGTCACTCATCGAGTTCTGTATTTTCTACCTGCCTACCTTTCTTCATATCTTGTTAATCGATTCACTCAGACTTAGGAGGGGGACCCAAAAAGCCCAGAGTTATGTTTTGGAGGGCAGGCCCCTTGTAGTACACTTAGAATTTTTTCCTCTGGTTCAAACAGTAAACAAAAATTTTTAGCCGGAATTTTTGAGAAGGTGCCTCATGATTTGCAGAAGAAGCGTTGTGAGTTGTGGCGAACAGGTGAATGGTTCTTCCATCATGACAACACACCTGCCCACACTGCACTGCACGTTCGGCAGTTTTTGACCCCAAACAGCATGACCCTCCCATGCCTCGCCTCCCTATTCACTCAATCTCACCTTCAGACATTTTTGTTTGTTTGTTTCCCCGGATGGTCAAAGTCCTCAAAGAGGAACATTTGGCTGATGTGGAAGAGGTGAAACAAAAAATCAGTAGAAGGTTGGGCGTGGTGTCTCATGCCTATAATCCAAGCACTTTGGAATTCAAGGTGAGAGGATTTCCTGAGCCTGTGGGTTCAAGAGCAGCCTGGGCAATTTGGCGAGACCTCATCTCCACAATACATCAAAAATTAGCCGGGCATGGTGGCACATGCCTGTAGTTCTGCTACTTGGAAGGCTGAGGCAGAAGGGCTCACCTTAACCCAGCAGATCGAGGCTGTGGTGGCCGTGACCGTGCTGCTGCACACCAGCCTGGGTGACAGAGTGAGACTCCACTCAAAGCAAAAACAAAAACAAAAATAAAATAGTGGAAGTGCTAAAAGGCATCCACATTAACAGTAAGAAAAGTGTCTCAATAGGTGTATTGTATCAGAGAATACTTTGAAGGTCACTGAAGCTTAAAAATGTAAGAATAATTACCCCATATTTAATCAATAAACTTATGTTTTTTGAGGCCCCCCTTATATCATTCTGAAGCAGTCTTTTTGAGTTGTGTCTCCCCCTGCCCCGTATTCCTCTATCTTGTTGTTGCCAACAGGGTGGCCCTTACAGTCTGTATTTGAGAGGACCTAACTCACCTGCTTCTTAGGGTGGATCCCCATTGTGTGAAAAGAGAGTTCCTGTTCTGACTTGACTCGTGTGCTGGCTCCGGCCTGATCTCTTGTTTTGTCACTGCACATCATTTCATGTGATTTTGTTCCAGTTTGACTACATCATGTTGCCACCCCTCTTTTGCTGTGTTGTTTCAGGCCTCATCCTTTTGCTCATGCTACCCAATCCAGAAGTTTTTCACACCTTCACTTTTCACTTTGTGTGTCATTGAGCATAAGGCCCTAACTTTGCTGCATTGCCTGAGCTTCCCAAGTAGAACCGACTGTTCTCGCTTTTGTTCCCTTACTGCACTTTGTCCATGTTAATTGTAGAACCTGTGACTTATTCTTTATTTTTAATTTTTCTATATCTTCACCTTCACTTGAATATGAGGCAGAATCTGGCTTGTAGTGATGTATTCACTTCTCCAAGGATAGTGCCTATGATTTGGGAAACAATAAATATTTGTCATCTTGCTGGCTGACAGAGTGGATGAGGGAGTGAAGAAATACAAGTTTTCTGATGTTGGTTTTTCTTTTTGTTTTTATTTTCCTTTTGTTTTCAATAAGAGGGAGCAACCAAGTCAGCAAGTGGAACAATAGAAAATGGTATTGGTATTATTGAATGTGCTCCAAAGAGCAAACAATGACGATTTTATTTTTGTGCACAAAAATTACCAAGGTGGTAACTTAGTAAATACCTCTGAAAATTGTTCTGTGAGTAAATTCTATTATTTACCAAAACTGATTAATGTTTGCATACCCAAATACAACGTTCATTTTTTAAGTGTTTGTTTTTTGTTTTGTTTTGGTTTTTTGGCTGTTTTTCTTTATATTACCAACTTCTTCCTAAAACTCCTTCAACTCTCTGAAGGTTGCTTTTGCTGTTTGTTTTATTGTTTTAAATATTCATGACTGGATGTAGACTTGAGTATGTCTTTAAAATTCCCAGTAATAAATGTTCTCATAAATTTTTCTGTGAATGACATTTTATAGATATAGCATTCACGTTACAATCAAGACAGAAGGAAGATGTGGAATTAAGTTTTAATTCTGAGGTACTGTATATTGTTGTTATTGTTGTTAATTTAAAGTAGAAGCATTGAGTCATGTTGAGACATTAAGGAGAATGTTTGACTTTACTTTCTACCTTATGCCTTTGCCCATCAAGAATTATTTTCTTTTAGTTTTCAGCCCATAACTACCAAAGTAATTATGTGCTAAGTAGACTACTGCTGTATGGTACAATTCTACTAATTTGCAGGATTCATTAAAGAAACCATTGTAGTATAGTGTAAAAAATAATTATAATAAGGCTAAGAAATCACAAGGAATTAATTTGCATTCTGAAGTTAACTTCATCTAAAAGCCTAAAGAGTGACTTATTCCAGGCCAGTCTACAGCCAAATGTATGATTCTGTGATATACCTGGATGTATGAAAGTTCTAATAAGATTCAGACTGTGACTTTTTGCAACTTGGGACTTGAAAAGATAATACCTGAAATTTGAAAGTGTTGACATATTTGGATTCTTCAGGATAGATCTGCAAGGAACACTTCAGGAGAAGGAAAACCATGGGGAATAGTAAATAATGTCAGTTTGGGTTAGTAGTGTTTTAATAAGTAAAAATCACTTTCAAAACTGGAATGCATTGAGTTTATTTGTAACAACCATTGTTGTAGTAACATTAGTATAATATATTAACAATGTATTCCAAAATGACAATGGTGAAAACAGAGGGAAGAGCCACTCCTCTTAGATGCAAGGAGCTGCTGCCTAGTGGTACAGCACTGAGTGGAAATCAAAAGACATGTGAGTATCCTGGTTATGGAACCTTGAAAAAAATATTTAACCGATTTGGATGTGAGTGATCTCACTCATTTAAAAACTGGTGCTAGTATCTACCTCTTAGGCATGTGTAATAAGCACATATGCTAAGACATTTTCAAACGTTAGTAAGCTGAAACATGTGTACACAAATATAAGACAGTGTTGTCACCATGGTATTCAGTGACTTTAAAAATATTGAGGATCGGGCAGCTCTCTGTCAGTTCCCCCCCCACTGCTGCCTGGAGCTTTCTTATCTTCTAGTAAATCTGACTTACTCTCCAAAAAAAAATACTGAGGACCTTCTTTTTTAAAATAAACCTGAAGGCAATGGTGTCAAGAAAAAAATGAAAAAATTACAACAGGCATATGGATTTCTAATTTGGAGGGTGTCAAATTTCTGCAGATTATTCCTGCAGAGAACCTACTGGAGTATGGTGATTTGGCACTTGAAGGGTGAGTATGACAGGGGGTGCAAAATTCTAGAGTCAGAGATCT